GAGGCGGGTGGATCACGAGGTCAAGAGATCGAGACCATCCTGGTCAACATGGTGAAACCCCATCTCTACTAAAAATACAAAAAATTAGCTGGGCATGGTGGCGCGTGCTTGTAAACCCAGCTACTCAGGAGGCTGAGACAGGAGAATTGCCTGAACCCAGGAGGCGGAGGTTGCGGTGAGCTGAGATCGCGCCATTGCACTCCAGCCTGGGTAACAAGAGTGAAACTCCGTCTCAAAAAAAAAAAACAAACTATGATTGAGTAGTGAGGTCTGCTGGTAGATCTAGACAGGACTGGGGGCACAAACACTCTCCTGCCTGACATCCCTGCATCTTGATTTTAACCCTGAATCCAATGAGGCATGACAAATTCACGTGCTTCAACTGCATTGTTTTGGCCCCATATAATTACTTTTACTGAATTGCACTTTCGTGCTCTGGCCCTAGCTTGAATGGATGAGAGTACCTCAAAACATCTACAACAAAACCACCACTTTATTATTAAAATGACATTTTTCAGGGTGTTGTCCACCTTACCTTCTCCCAAAGGAGAAATTTCTCTCAGACCTAAGAACCAGAAAATGCTTTTGCTTTTCCTGAACATCTGGTTTCTATTTATCCTATAAATAATGTAACACTTAACAGTATTTTCCTTTCTTTCTTTTTTCCGCTTTGGACAAAGAAATTTCAAATCTCGGACTAGACGTGTTGGCTCATGCTCTTTGGGAGGCTGAGGCAGGTGGATCACGAGGTCAGGAGTTCAAGACCAGCCTGACCAACATAGTGCAACCCTGTCTCTACTAAAAATACAAAAATGAGCCAGGTGTGGTGGCATGCATCTATAATCTCAGCTACTCAGGAGACCGAGGCAGGAGAACCACTTGAACCCGGAAGGTGAAGGTTGCACTGAGCTGAGATTGTACCACTGCACTCCAGCCTGGGTGACACAGTGAGGCCATTAACCTATTCCATCTTTTTCTACTCACCCTGATTATTTAATTTTATTTAAACTTTTTATGTTTAATATGTGTTCCTTTTTGGCTATGGCAGGTTGTAAATAAATAAAGAAACAGATGGGAGGTAGATAGGTAGTGAAATAGCTAGACAGCTCACTATAAAAAGAACTTGAAAGAAAGATATATAGCTACTGGCAAGATACACAGGTTATTAATTAAGGCATAGATTGTTACAGGTTTAAAGAGGGCATATTTTAAAACAAACTCCAGGTTTCACATTTAGTTTCATAGGGCTATCAAGTTTACAAAATACTTATTACTATTTCTTATTATCCTTCTTATTACCAATTTTTATTCTCTCTCCTCTTTTTATTTTCTAAAATCTACCTTCCCCAACCCTGTGACTGTAAAAACAAAAACAGATTTCACAGATGGAAGGATGCTAATGGAAAAGCCTTCCCCCACCCCCTTCAGAAATAAAGAGAAAATTGTGAATACGTTCCACAGGGACAAAGAAAACACACCAAACCTTTATGAAGAAAATAGTCTTATATTAGGTTTTGCCTAGAATTCTAAAAAAAAATCAATCCATATCCCTTTTTGGTAATAAGGGTCTCTGAGAGTACAGCAGTCTCCAACGTGGATAGTAAACTCTTCCAAGGCCCTAAGGTGGCATTTAGAACTCTGACAAAGGTGATGGGCTTGCTGTGAGCTCACGCCTACCCTAAGCTCAGCAGAGACCTGTGGACAGCGGTAACATTAGAAAGCAGCTCCACTGCAGTACTGACTGATTCATTCTATGTTCAAATTTCCAGTTATTTCATTTGATTGCACTTGGGTGTGTTTTATGAGATTGCTGCAGTTAGCCTGAGTTGTTAAAGGAACATGTGCATTTCCATTACCAAAGTAGGTATCAAATCCTCGGCGGGTTGGAAGGCATTCTTTCCGGTACATTCCCAGGTGCCATTTTCCAACCATATGGGTAGTATAACCTGCTTCTTTAAGGAGCTGTGGCAGGAGTTTTTCATCCAGAGGAACACAGCTGGGCTGACAGGGCCAGATTATTTGGTGCTGTAAACCTGTATGGATCTTACAGAGATAGACATAAAATTATAGATTAATGACATTGAAACATTGTGAACAAATAGATAAAATGGCCTCCTACCTTACTGATCATGTCTGTTGACTTGGATGTTTAACTCTATTCCTGTACTGGCTGGAGGATATTTCTGAAAGGCAGAATTCTCTTCTTCAAATAAAGTAGTGGACATAAACAGGATTTGAAAGACAAATAAAACCATTCCAACAGACATTTTGAACATTTATCAAGGCACTATGTTAGAAACCATTAACTTGTCACTTCTTGCTCAAAAAAAGTAGCAATAATATATTGTGTGAATCTGTCAAGAAAGAAGTGTGTTTCAATTTGGGGCATACAAAAAGTTGGTGTTTGATTAGAAGAGACTTCTGTAATCTTTGAAAACTTGGTGAATTTTTAACCAGTTTTTTTTTTTTTTTTTTTTTTTTTTTTTTTTTTTTTTTTTTTTTTGAGGTGGAGTTTCACTCTTGCTGCCCAGGTTAGAGTGCAACGGCGCGATCTTGGCTCACTGCAACCTCCACCTCCCGGATCCAAGTGATTCTCCTGCCGCAGCCTCCTGAGTAGCTGGGATTATAGGCGCATGCCACCATGCCCAGCTAATTTATTTGTATTTTTAGTAGAAACAGGGTTTCACCATGTTGGCCAGGCTGTTCTTGAACTCCTGACCTCAGGTGATCTGCTTGCCTTGGCCTCCCAAAGTGCTGGGATTACAGGCGTGAGCCATCACGCCCAGCTGAGTTATTTAACAGTATAATAAAATGATTATTTGCATTTTTATTCTACTTTATATAAATTGTAGTCTCAAGAGACAGTGTCCAAATTTTTCTTATAAAAGCAGTCATCTGACTGCTGCTTGGGAGTGGCTCACACAAATGTGCCTGGGGTATAAGGTCCACACAGCAACTAACCTTTAAGCAATGACCACTTGTTAACTTTTGATGTAATATTGAATAGAATATCCACAATTATATGAAAAATATATTAAAATAGCCCTCCCTTTTCCAACTACAGATCTGTTTGGGGCCAGATTTTTCTTCTTCAATTTTTACCAAAAATAATATATCATAACAGGTTAAATGCAGGAGCAGATACAACAACCTAGCAAACTTCTGTTAGTAGAAAAGATGTATGAAAAATATTAAACAATGGCATTTTTCTCACATAACTACTTGGTTTTGGAAAACACAGCTTTTTTTCATAGCTTACTTATGTTAATATTGTGGGTTTGTTACTATTTTTCATTGAATAAAAAAATTTATAAATTGTTTTAACTTATGGCAAATTTTGAATGGTTACAACCCACTTAAATCTATGTTCCTTGGGGTCCTCAATAATTTGTAAGCAAATACAAAGATCCTAAGACCAAAATGTTTGAGAACTGATGCTCTAGTGTCCAATAGTGATCACTGCCATGAAGAAAAATATGGGCGAGGGAGACAATGACAGAGGTGGCACTTGCAATAGAGTGGCAAAAGAAAGCTCTTCTGGGCCAGGCGAGGTGGCTCGTCCCTGTAATCCCAACACTTGGGGAGGCTAAGACAGGAGGACCATTTCACTCTAGGAATTCCAGAACAACCTGGGCAACATACCACAACCTTATCTCTACTAAAAAAAAAAAAAAATTAGCCAAGCATGGTGGCATGTGCCTGCAGTTGCAGCTACCAAGAAGACTGAGGTGGGAGGATCACTTGAGCCTGGGAGGTCAAGGCTGCAGTGAACTGTAATCATATCACTGCACTGCACTCCAGCCTGGGCAACAGGGGCAAGACCCTGTCTCAAAAAAAGAGAGAAAGAAATAAACCTTTTCTGAAGAGGAGATATTTGAGTAGTGACCAGAATAAAGCGAGGCAGTGAGACTTGCAGAAATCTGGGTTAAGAGCAATCCAGGCCTAAGAAATAAAAACTTCAAAGGTCATGAGACCTGAGCTTACCAGACAAGTTCAAAAGGCCAGCCCAGAATTCGATGTGGCCCTGTCACAGCTCTTGTGCTGGTGGGTGCCACTGTGGCCCCTGATGCAGCATGCCAGGGTATCCCCCCTTGTCTGCCCAGTCTTGCCCTTCCCTATAACTTGACACCTCCCTGCTCCTTGTCCTGGGTTAGCCAGGCAGGTACCCTTCTTTGTATGAAGTGGGACTGTGGTCTCAAATTCAACTCTGCCCCAGACACCAGCCTTCCCCAGCAGTGGGAGCTCTTGATTTATAGAATAAACAGGCTCTGGGGACACGGGAGGTAAAGAGTGCCAGTTCTCAACCCAGGCCATGACTGGTCCCTTCGTCAGCTGAAAGGTGGAGGGCAAGAAATTTGTTGCTAACAAATGATTTTTTTTTAAGTGTTTGTGAGTAATTGGTTTGCCTTATATTTAAAGCAGAATAGCATGAGGTTCAGAGAATTAAATCCCATCCTGGCTCTATCACTTATGAGCTTTGTAACCCTGGGCAGTAACCTCATTTGGTAACTCATTAACTTCAATAACTTGAGTAAGTTTGGAATTGCACCTACTATCGCTTTACTGTATGATCTCTTTCCATATCCTCCTAAAAGAACCGTGTGGAATAATATCTTAAATGTCAAGTTAAAGTGGGTTTATCTTGAGGAAGATGGTTAACTATCTTGATGTGGTGATGGTTTCACAGGTATATATCTATCAAAGCTTATTAAATCGTATACTTTAAGTATATGCAGCTTATTGTACATCAATCATATCTCAATAAAGCTATTTAAAAATAAAAGTGAGTTTAACTTTTCTATTGAGATTGTTATGCCTCTCCTAGAAATAATTAGACACCTACATTGGGATATGTGCCAGATGCCTTCTGTTTGCCTTTCAAATCCACACTGCCTTTTCAGTTCTGCTCTCTACCCTAGAAGGCTGACCTATGAGGACCAAATCAAAGGACATTTGTTTTCTGGTTTCTGATTGGGCTCAGACAATGGGGAGCTCCAGCAGGAGTGAGAGGGAAAGAGGAGAGTGCACGGCCTTGGCGGCCAGACTGCTAAGCCTGGCTACATGTGCCTCTCTACTGAAGGTCACTCTGGAAACAGACTTCTTTCTCTTTCTGCCTCTCTCCTTCTAAGTTCTGGTAACTGCCCCTTCCTTTCTTCTCTTCTGATCTAGGGGTAGTAAGAGCTCCACTGGATTACTACACTATCCCTAGCATTTTGCCATACACATTCATACCTTTTAAAATTGTCCCTTGGTACGTAAACCCTCCCTAATTTGAATGTGCCATCTCTTTTTTTTTTTTTTTTTTTTTTTGATGGAGTTTCATTCTTGTTGCCCAGGCTGGAGTGCAATGGCATGATCTCAGCTCACCACAGCCTCCACTTCCCGGGTTCAAGTGATTCTCCTGCCTCGGCCTCCCAAGTAGTGGGGATTACAGGTACGTGCTACCATACTTGGATAATTTTGTATTTTTAGTAGAGACAGGGTTTCTCCACGTTGGCCAGGCTGGTCTCAAACTCCTGAGCTCAGGTGATCCGCCCACCTCAACCTCCCAAAGTGCTGGGATTAAAGGCGTGAGCCACCACACCGGCCGAATGTGCCACCTCTTTCCAGCTGGGACCCTGAATGATACGGATGTTATAATATCCAGGCTGGGAAAGGAAGCATTCCTCTCAGCACATGTGCACACGCACACACACACATACACACAACCCAAATCAAAGAATTATTCTTTCCATGGTTAACACTGGAAGCTTACTGAAGAGAAAATTGACCCTACGGCTCAAAAACTTCATAGCATGTAGTATGCTAATTGGCAACCAGGCAGGATTAGTTAAAATATTTTATGGAATCCAAAAGCCCCAGTGGAGATAAATGCTCTGTGAAAATTTCCTTAAATGGAAAGCTCATCCATCACATGCAGAGAGTTAACTCTGATCGCTAGAAAGCGCTGCCAAGAGATGTTGTGTGATTTGGTTTTCCTAAGCCATGGGCACCAAGCCAGGTGGTCAGCTGAAGCCTGCCTCCATTATCTACAATCATATGGAGCAGGGAATGTGTTCTTTTCAGTTCCTGAGAATTTATTTGATAGAGCATTTTTATGGCATTATTGAGAAGCAGATGCCAAACCCTGGATGACATCCAAAAACATGTTTTCGGTCTGTTCAAACACTATCTGAAGCAAGGAAGCTGTATAGAGAGGCAGTAAACAGGCAAATGCCGAGCTGGTTCAAACCCAACACTTTAACATAGAACTACAGAGCCATACCATGTTTCATGGGGCAGGAAGGCAACCGAGCACCAATAGGAATCAAAAGAAAAAAATAAGGGTGCCCTGATAAAGACAACAGAATATAAAACAACTCCATTCTAACACCTATTTGCAATATCCAAAGAAGTGTGTGTGGATAGAGAAGGTTCTACATGTAATAAATGAAAGTCCAAGAGGTTACCTCCCTATCTACCATGTGTGGCTGTCTTCTCTTCAATAGACCAAATCTTCTCTCAAAAAATGACTTCTCCTAAGATTTTACTTGACCATCAAAAACTCTCTCCACAAAGGCAAAAGGTCTGCAAATCCAGTGGAGGACCTGGCATGTTCTAGGCTCTTTCTGAGAGATACCTGAGAGATCCTTGTTTACATGTTGGTTGCACGTAACACTATTTGGTCCAGTGTGTTATTCTGTCTTCTGCTCACCTAGGAGATCCTTGCAATATAGTCTCATCAGCTTAAAAAACCAATCTCTTGCTGGGGGAGAGGAAAATGACAGCTCCCATATCAGAATCTCTTACAATTCCCCTTTCAGAGGTCCAGGCAGTCTATCAATTAGTTATCTATGTCGGAGTTCAGACACAATATTTCACTACACTCAAACTCTCCCAAGAGTGAAGCAAACCACTGGTGCATAGAAGGCAATAGATGCTATTTCTCTTCTCACCTCAACAGTGTTGAGATAAGATCCCGCTGAACAGAGGGAGGTTCTGTCCAGTCAGTCTGGCCTGAGCAAGATGAACTTATATCCTCATGTGCCCACATATGTGCACAA